AGCCCCTCCTCTGAGTCACCACGTCCTTTTGCGTGTGGCCTTCTCTGGGCTGGAGTGACCGGGGGTGGCTGACAAGGGGGGTCTGAGCCCCCCTCTCCATTTCTGCTGCTCCCCGCCTGTCTCTGTCAGCTCCTCCCCCCACCAGGAGGAAAGGGCAGCTGGCTTTGGGGGCAGACAGGAAACATTCCGGGGTCCTTGGGATTCACAGGGGACTGATAGCTTGCAGTGGAAGAGGTCACAGGTGGCCACGAGGAGAAGGTGACGTGTGAGCTGGGCGTGAAGGACCAAGAGGACCTGGGCTCCAGGCGAGGGATGGAAGGCGGGGACGGCGACGGCAGGGCAAGAGCATCACATGCGAGCCCTCAGGCCACCACCCCAGTGGCAAGGGCCCGACTCTGGGCGGCTCACACTGCCCGGCAAGCAGGGATTCCGGCCCCTGCAACACCAGGTCCCCAGCACTCTGCAAGTCCCCAGAGGGACTCCAAGAGTACCCTGCATCTTGGCCTGGAACGTCTTCCCAGGGAGGTGCCTCCCAGCAGGCTCAGTGAGTGAGTGAGTGAGTCCCTTGCGTCTTGGTGCCCTGAGGGAGAAATATCCCCCAGACAGCTTAGGCTGATGAGGTCAGGCCCAGAAGCAGTACCCCAGACCCCTGAATCCAGGACCAGCTGGTTCCTCTCTCTCCTCGGCCTCAGGGGCCCTCCTGCCCACCTGGCTTCCGGCCCCGCTGGAATCCACAGACCCCTCTGAATGAGCCAGCATTGCTAGGAGAGCCCCGGGTCCCGTTCCAAACGGGGGCTGCAAGCACACATCGGTGGGGAGTGGAGCTGCCTAATTTCCTACGATAGTCCACTTGGGCCAGCTGGGCACGCGCTGCAGGGGACAGCTGGGTGTCTGGAGAAGGGTCCTGGGCACGGAGACAGCACGTCAGGACCAGAGGCTGCAAAGGGTGGGGTGGGGCCAGCAGGGGAGGGGGCCTGGGTGGGCCCCTCTGTATCTACCAGTGTGGCTGGTCCCGGCGCTGACATGCGTTCTCTTCTCCCTTCGTCTTTCTGCTCTGTTTTTGCCCCTGTCCCTGCTGAGCACAAACCCGGAGCCAGCTTCCTGGTTCTATCCTGTGTGTATCGGGAAACGGCCGTGCCCCTCTCCGGGCCAGCTCAGATGGCTTCCCCTCAGGAAGCGAGTTCTCATGGCTCCTCCAAGTTAAAAATAGAGAGGAGACAGAGAGAAACGGGCACAGAAACATAAGAGAAGGGGACACAGGGAGACAGACAGACGGAAAGGAAGAGACGGGGACAGAAAGAGGCAGCGAGGGATTCAGTAGGTCCCCTCCCCCCATTCATCTGTCCATTTTTCAGGCCGATATCAGGTGACATGTGGCCTACTGGACAGACTCAAGGCCATTGCCACTGAGTTTGTTTGCCCCAGGCATGTGCCCGGAGAGCTGGAGAGCTGAGGGGTTGGCGCAGCGACACCGTGTAGCCAGTGTTACCCCGCCAGCTTGCGCTGCAGGCCCCCAAGAGCCCAGAGAAGCAGGCCCAGGCATGGCAGGGGTCCCCATGGGAATTTGGGGGTGAGACAGCCCCACCCATAGCATGTGGGCTCTCCCCCAGCCCCTGAGGTTGGGCTCTGGGCTCAGCACAGGACAGGTCCCAAGAAAGTGGCTTCAGTTTCTGTGGACAGGCTGGGTCTATCACATGTCCCCGGTGGGGACAAGTGGGTCAGAGAGACAGGCTCATGGGGGTCTTCTCCAGCATCTGGTCTGGGGGCTGGAAGACCACCACACCAGGAGGTGTGGGGCTGGGGGCAGCTCTAGGCTGGGCTGTGGGGGTGGCATGGTGGTCTGAGGGGACTCTGGGACGCCCAGTCAGAGGCAGCCAGGACCGCTGTCTTCCAGCACTCTGGAGTCAGCTCCTGCAGAGCCCCCTCCCTGGCCTCAGGCTGCCCTCTGTCTGGGACAGGACTGTGTGGTCATCTGTCTACCTGTGTCCAGTCGGGAGACCACAAAGGGGGGAAGGGTCCAGTTCCACAGGATCGGCACAAAGCCCGTCCGTGTTCCTCGGTGATGTTGCAGTACAGTAAGACACGTGTCACTCTCCCTTATCACGGTCTCAGTTACCCGCGGTCAACTGTGGTCCAAAAATATTAAATGGAGAATTCCAGAAATAAGCAATTCATATGTTTTAAATTGTGCATGGTTCTCAGTAGCATTATTGAGTCCCACTCCGTCCTGCTTGGGACTTGAGTCACCCCCTTCGTCCAACGAATCTGCACTGAGCATGCTCCTTACTCGCTGTCACGTGGCAGCCAGCTCATTTACCAGATCAGCTGCTCTATTTCATCGTTGGTCATTGCTATTCTTCGCTCTGCCTGATTTGTAAGTTTGACTTTGTCGTGAGTATTACGTACAGGAAAGAGCACAGTGTACGCAGGGTTTGGTGGTGTCTGAGCTTTCAGGCATCCAGTGGGAGTGTTGGAGGTGTCCCCTGTGGACATGGGGGGCTCCTGGTGCATTTGGTCTTTGTCCCTGGTTCCTGGCACAGAGCTCCTAAACCCCTCGGGATTCTGAGTGGTGGGGGTGGGAGGAGCACCTTTTGCTGTTCACAATGAGCCCTTTCCAACCGACCAGAGTGAGGTGAGCTTAATGAGATGAGCTCCTGGATGGCTTCAGGATGCAGGCTGGTCATGAGAACTTTCAGCCCAACTCCCTACCCCAATAATCCCCAGGGAGGAGAGGGCTAGGGAATGAGCTCCATTACCAAAAGCCCGTGATTTAATCAGTCGTGCCTGGTGGTGGAGCCTCCATAAAAACCCCAGACGGTGGAGTTCAGAGAGCTTCCAGGTTGGCGAAGACACAGAGGTGCTGGGAGAGTGGCGCACCCAGAGAGGGCACGGAAGCTCTCTGCTCCACGCCCTCAAACCCAGCCCTGTGCATCTCCTATTTTGCTGTTCCTGAGCTGTATCCTTTGCTGCAAACCAGTAATACTCGGTAAACCGTTTTCCTGGGTTCTGCAGGCCATTTTAGCCAATTGCCTAGCTTCAGGAAGTGGTTATGGGAATCCTTGATTTCTAACCAGGACGGACGGAAGTGTGTGGGTGCCCTAGGCATGTACTACTGTAACTGGTGCCGGAAGAAGGGGCAGTCTTGTGGGCCCCAGCCCTTTCATTGCAGCGTCTGCATTAACTCCGGGTGGTCAGTGTCAGAACCGAGTTACACTGTGGGACACTCAGGTGGCGCCTGGAGAGTCGGAGAATTGGTTGGTGTGAGGAAACCAACACATTTGGGGTCAGCAGTGCTGTGGGTGCAAAACAGATTGTAATGCCCATCAAGTTCATTCTTGGCCCTTCTCTGGCCTGCTGTGGACCCAGTAAGCTGGGACATGGACCACGGACCACACTATCCAGACCCCTCTGCCCTCTTACTTCTGGCCAGGTGTCATTAGTGGAGGCACCAATATGAGATCAGAAGGCTGGAGGAGAGAGGCAGGGGTATTTACTCACTGGCTGCCCCCAGTGGTGGCACCCCTCTACCTACAGCCCCTGGCTCTGACAGGCGGACCCTCCCATGGCTCCTATTCCCTGGCTCCGGACACAGCTCTCTCCCCCATCGCATCAGCCCTTCAGGTGCTGGAGTGCTTACGGCCCCCTCGGTGCCCCAGGTCACCCTCTCCTGTCGGTTCCCCGAGCACTGCCCACACCTTTGTAAACTCTCTCGATTGCCTGCTAGAGGCAGGCATGCCATCTGTTTCCTGTGGGCCCGGCCAGCCCACACACGCCCACGCCTTGCGGAGTGCGAGGCCTCAGGGTCACCTAGTTCAACCTTCTCTTTTTATATAAGGGGACACTGGGGTCCAAAGAGGGTGAGTGACCTGTCCAGGGTCACCCAGCCCTGGGGACAGAGCTCATGGCTGCTCTGTAAAGGCTGTGGGAAGACCAAGACAAGTTGGGAGTCAGCCTCCTCCCCTCCCTGCCTCTCCTCACCTGGCTCCCCCAGGGTCAGGTTAGCGCTTCCTGCACAGCAGGAGCGGGATGTGCCCACGGGCTAATAAACCAATTAGGGCCGTGGGCACATCCCAGAGATGGGGACCTGGGAAGCCAGCCAGCGCCCTCCTTCCCTGACCCTGTGCCCCAGCGGGTAGGGCCCGCCACCTGGTATGGGGTGTCTCCTGGTCTCCCTCCACATCCCACCCAACCCTCTAGCTGCCCCCAACCTGCCCACCCAGTGCTCCCCAGGTGCTTCCAGGCCTTTGCACATGCTGCTGCTCTCCCCTGGGCACACTTCCCGTGTCTACCTGGCACAGGGCTGCCCCTTCTCCAAGGCCACACTTGTTTAAGAAACCTCCTCTAGGCCTCAACGCCCATGTTCCCTCCATCCTTGTGTGTGGTAATAACCCTCTCCTCCCTCACAGTGGCGGGCAACTTGAGGGCAGAACCTTGCCCGAGTCACCTCCGGCCCTTTGAGGCCCACACAGAGTGGAGCTGATGATGAAAGTGCTGGGTGCCTGGGAGAGGTTCAGGGCTGGCGTCTGCTCTGGGCTGAGCCCGGACTTCCTTAGGAGCTGAGTTTCACATGCAGTTCCTGCCACCCCCGCCCCTCCATGGCCCAGAGTAAGCCCAGGGGCGGGCGAAGCTTAGAAGCTACCCGTCTCGTGCAGGAACTGGAGAAAGGGGAGATGAACAGCTCACAGTCCTCCAGCCAGGAGGCGGGGTCAGCTGGAGAGAGGGACCCCAGGAGGGTGCTGGGGTAAGGGAGCAGCGAGCGTCAGACATGCAGGGCAGGGTCGGCCCCTTGGCCTCAGCCCAGTGGGCAGTGTGATCATCCTTATTTTACAGGTAGGGACACTGAGGCCCAAAGAGAGGCCTGATCTGCTCCTGATGGCTTAGCTGGCCTGGGCTCCCGGGGCCTCAACCCTGGCGCTACATCCTCCTGCCGACCACCCCCACCCCCAGAGGATCTGGGGGCAGCAGGTGGGGAGGCTGCCAGCTCTACAACGGCACAGATGTACAGGGGGGTGTTGGCACGTTTATTTCTGATATTCATTCCTGAGCTCCAGAAGCTGTAGGACGTGCTCCCAGCCCAAGCTCCAGGGAGGGGGTTGAGGAGCAGATGGGAGCCCCGCAGCCACTCAGGAGCCCCGCACAGCTGGAGGAGGGCTGAACAGGTGGTGGGGTTTGTATCTTCTCATGCACACCGACTCCCCTCGTTCCGAAATGGAGGTGCTTCCACAAGTGTCATAGCTCGGGTGGGGAACAAGGAGGAGAGGGGAGAGAGTGATGAACACAGGGCTTGCAGGCCCCTGGCTATGCCTGCAGCTCAGAGCCCCAGGCGCCGGAGCCCTGCAGACACTGAGGCTCCGCTGGCCAGGCTGGACTCACCAAAGGGAACCCGACATTTCCTCTAAGCTGCATGAAGCCCGCTCTCTCCTCCCTGGACTTGGCCATCACCTAGCCCCCACACCCCCTCTTCCACTGCCCATACGCCAGGATGCCTGTCTCCCCTAATCAAAACCCACCAGCAGCTGCCTCTGGCCTTCAGGACGCAGCCCTTTCCCCAGCTGGGAACCAGCACCAGGCCTTGCCTGGCTGCCGGCAACCCTTCGGCCCCAGCACCGCCTCCCTCCCTCCACTCCAAACCCTATCCAGGGATAGGTTTCCCTTTTCCTTTAGGTGGCTTTGTAGGCATGCCCGCTCCACCAGGCCCTGGTGTCTGAGCCCTGGATGAAAGGCTTGAGGCAAAGCTTAGTGCTTGACCTGAAAGCAATTCGTCTCCACCTGGGTGACTCCCAGCCGGAAGTTCTGCTGCCCACCCCACCAACAATTCCCATAGTTGTCACCAGGGAGCAGTGGGGCCCACTCAGCAGTTGTGGACCCTGAGGCAGGTAGAAGGGAGAGGGACAAGTGAGGGAGAGGTTAGAGGTTCTGGAACCTTGGGGGTTCCTTGCTCAATAATGGATACCCATGTCTGGCCTTCAGGGAAAGCCACTCCAGCATGGCCAGCACGGGGGAGGGGAGCTGGGCTGGGGGCTCAGGCCAGGGCCTTCTGAGGAACACGTGAGGGAGGGAGAAGGGGATAAAGGTGATCCAGGTCGGGGACTGTCCCCTGCCAGGGGCCCAGGAGGCCTCGGCCCTGTCCACTTACCAGGTGTAGATGAGCAGGGCAAGGAGGGCGGCGAGGAGCACAGTCAGCAGGACGGACAGGATGGCAATGATGACCACCGCACCTGCGCTCTGGGGCCCTGAGGTGGCCTGGAGCGCCTCAGCTGAGGGGCGTGAGGAGACCCCCAGGCAGGCAGGCAGGCAGGCAGGCCGAGCGGGGAGGAGAGAGACAGGATCTGACCTGAGAGGGGGGACCTGGAACAGCCTCCAGATCCACCGCCCACACCCAGGCTGGGGGAGGGGTGCCTGCAGCGGCAAAACAGGAGGCTCTGACCAAAGGGGCTGGCCGCGCCCAGCCCTCGGGACCTCCCCAGGCCCTCCGCCTGAGTGCAGGACCTGCCCGTCAGGCTCCATACCTTGCAGCAGATGGGTGTCATTGGACCACTCTGTCTCAGCCACGGGTCCTTTGTCACTCATCACCAGGAACTTTACTCTGAACAGAAGACCCAGCATTGGGAGTGAGGGTCCCTGGGTCCTGAACCCCTCGGCCCTGGTGCCTATCAGTCTGTCCCCTTGATTCCCAAGGCTCCATGGTTAAAGCGTAGCCTTGGAACTGGCCTAAAGGGGCTCCAATCCCAGCTGTGACATTTCCCAGCTGCGTGGCCTTGGGTGCATCCCTCATTCTCTCTGACCTCGGTGTTCTCACTTGGGAAATGTGTGTGGAGTGGACTAGATCCCCCAGCACCGAACATCAGTGAGGGGAGGTGGCTCAAAGGACCAGTCCCTCCCAGGATGGGGAGAATCTCCCAGATGGGGAGATTCCATCTGTGGGATCCAAATGACCCACGGGGGCAGGGGCTCAAGTCAGGGGTCTTCTGCCCAAGAAAGACAGGGGAACTCACCCAGGCCTCCCCCCACATGCAGGGAGCCCAGGCGCCCAGCTGGGGGCTGCCCGGGCTCAGGCCTGGGCACAGGCAGGAGCAGCAGGGCCTGGCCGAGCTGCTCACCGGTAGGGGCCTGGGCCGGGCAGGGGGGCATTGCAGCCCCTTCTGGTTGGTGAACAGCCGGTGTCATTGCCGACACGGAGGACCCGGAGCTGGCTGACAGGCTGACTACGCGGATAGAGAGCCCGGTTGGCCATCAGTGTGAGGTAGTAGCCCCTCTGGGGGAAGTCGGCAGGGACTGGGGTGTCCTCCACCCTCTGTGGGGCAGTGAAGTTCCGGAAGGCTGAGGGTGGCATCCGGGTCAGACAGTAGGTAATGGTGGCTCTGACAACAGGGGCTGGCCCACCCCAGTCCTCAGGGGCACCCAGAAGTCTCCAGGCCTAGAGTGTGACCTGCTCGTCTGGCCCCGCATGGCATGGGGGCCACATGGGCAGGGCTCCAGCACACCCCACCAGGCCAGACAGCCCCCAGCCACATCCCTGGCAGCACCTCCCTCCCCCTCCCCCCAACCCCGCTGTTCCTCGCACGCCCCCTGCCCTCTCACAGAGGGAAAACGAGGCCTGTCCCTGTGGCACCCACCATTGCTATGGGCCACCACCAGCCAGATGGGGTCCAAGTCGGAGATGCTGAGGTGGCTGAACTGGCCCCGAGGCTGCTCCAGCGTGAAGGTGGACTGGGTGAGGGCCCCCGCCAGAGTGGCACTCGAGAGCTGGGGCACATAGTCGATGTGCTCTGGGGCCGGGGAGAGTCAGAGAGAAGAGGCTCAGCCAGAAAACCCGAGCAGGGCTGGACGTGGTCCTGGGAGCCCGGCCCGAGGGGAGAGGCACAGGCCTGCCCTGGACACCCTCGTCCGAGGGAGCAGTTGGGGCTTATCCTGGGAGCTCTGTTCAGGCTTTATGCAGGAGTGCTCCCCAGCGACTCTGTCCGTGGGTCATGCTCAGATGGCCTGAGCCCAGGCCTGGCCCCTGCCTTCGGAGCCGACTAAGGGTGGGCACTGTGGGAGGTCAGGGGGAGGCCCGCCTGTCCCTGCCTTACCTGGGGTCTCCGCATGATGGGTGGAGTCCAGGGAAGTGGGCAGCCAAAGGCACAGGGGCCCCTTCTCCCAGCTGCAGGCACGGCTCTTCTGGGGGAGGGATCTCAGGCCTCACTGGGGTGAGACCCAGATATGGGAGGGCCTGAGTCCTGCTGGCACCCAGTGGCCTCGAGCTCTGCCTCTCTGGGCCTCAGTTTACCCACCTCTCAAGCCCCTCCAGCTCCACCCACATGGTGCAGATTGCTTTGCTTGATGAGAGAAATGAATGGCTTGGGAGGTGATAGAGGAAGTTCCCCTCCAAGGCCTCAAACCAGGATGTGGGTCACCAAGAGGGGGACAGTGTCCTGGCTCAGAACCTGGACCCCCTCCCCTCCCTATGCAGTGCTCTGCCACGTCCCACCCCACCGCGAGGCAGCTTCCCCTTCTGGAACTCGTCTCCCTCTCGGCCCCTCGCAGCCTCATCTGGGAAGCGGCAGGGAGAGCTGGGAAGGACGACAAGCCCGGGCCCCATGCCCACGCCCGCGCTGCTGCTGCTGCTGCAGGGAGCTCAGAGCCCCTGACTTCGCCCTGGGCCCCGAGAGAGCAGGGCTCCTTCTCTCTCCAGCTCCAAACACCGGAAAGCCGCAGAAACATGAAGTGCGCTGTTACACAAGTCTCCAGAACCCGCTGCCTCGGTCCGTTCAATTCAGTTCAAATTCATTTCCATGTAATTCCACTTAACTCCCAAGATTGAGTACCAGGACACTCCTTTCTCTGAGCGGCCAGTTCTCTCTCCGAGGCCCAGTGCACACTGCATACAGCAAGCACTTAATGTTCGCTGAACGAGGGAAAAGGCACGGAACAGCGGAGATGGGGAGGCTGCATCTCTGAGCCCCCCCAGTTTAAGAGCTGCAGTGAACAACGCCTGCAGTGCCGCACGGGGCTTCCTCTGGGGGCTCTCCTCGTAGACTTCTTTTAACCTCTGCTCAGGGACAGGCAGGAGGGCGTGGAGGGGGGTGCAGGGGCGCCATCTGGCGAGAACTCGGGTGGAGGCTCAGGGTTCACGGAGATGAGAAGCCCTGAGAGAGGCGGCGTTGCTCACTCCCCAGTCTTGGGTGGGAGATAGGTGTCCATCTTTGACCCGTTTGGTGGGCTGTCTCTCCCGACCCACCCAGGACCCACCCCCAGACGTGAAGATTGGGAGCTGGTGGAGGAGAGGCCGGTCCTCCCGAAGCCCGCCCGGGGCTCAGTGGGCACCCTGCCCCCGTCCCTCCCTCACTCACCTAGGCCGGCTCCCAACCGCAGGCAGATCAGCAGCAGCACCGGTGGCATCAGCAGCCCCGGCTGTCCCCTACCAAGCCCCATGGCCAGGCCAAGCCGCTGCTGGTTGTCGGAGGGTCTGTCTGCAGTGTCCGGAGCCCCAGAGCTCCTTAATCTGGGCAGGGCTTGGGGAGGCTCTTCTCGCACCTCCTGCTGCCCCTCCCAAGTGCCCCCTCCTCCCCAACAACTGGTTGGACAGGTTTTGGGGCAGAATGTGCTGGCCCCATGGATTTGGCATTGCCAGGGAGGGGTCTGAAGGGAACAATCAGCACCAAACAAGCCTAGACACCCTCACCCCCCACTCTAGGAGGGCCGGGCCCGGGAGGGGCCACAGGGTGAGGAAGCAGCCGGGCCCAGGCAGCCCCAGGACGGCCCGCCGCACCCTGCGGAACCTTCTCGTGCCAACAGTCCCGACCTGGCAGCCGGGGCTCTGCCCAGCCCTCCTGTGCAGAAGGGGGTCACCCTCATTTCCTAGATGAGGCACACGGAGGGGAAGGGGGCTTGCCCAGTGACCCGCCAGCCAGGGCAGAGCCCGAATTAGAGTGTCACACCCAAAGGCAAGCTTGGGGGGCTCCCCGACATCACCCTCGCTCCCCTCCTCATCCAGGTGACCTGCTCTCTCTCCTTCCCCTATCTGTGGCTACTGCCAGGGCCAGCAGTCCATCCTCACCACGGAAGATGACCGGATGGGGCCCCGGACAGGCGGGCAGAGCACAACCTGACCGCCCCCCCCCACCCAGCTGGATCAGAGCAGCAGCCCGCCGGGGCTCCCTGCCTCACGCAGCAGCCCTTTCAACCGAGGTCTGCACCCAGCCAGAGACACCCTCCCCAAACTCAGTCTCTGTTTGGGGGTGCTTAAAAATTTTTTTAGATCATTACAAATATTCTCTAGTTTTTATAATGATTTATGCTCTCTTTACCTGCCAGCCCACCCACATACACCATTTCTCTTTGCACAAATACCTAAGCTGTGCCAACTGTTTATCACAGTGAACTTCAGAGAAGGAAAATATTCCTGCCGATGTGATGGGATCACCCAGGTGGGTTTTGTGGCCAGTGCTTTAGTCAGATACGCTAGCAGATGGTGTCAGAATTCTCACGATAAAATTACTCTATTTCGTCAGTGATTGGACTCAGCCCCAAGGGAACTGGGGGCCAAACCCAGAGCAAAGGCTCAGGGGAGGCAGATGGGGTGGGGGAGGCCGGTGGGGGGGTGGGGTCCTGACAGTGCAGGGGGTGGGCCTCAGCCAAAAGGCCGCTGGCACCACCTCTTCAGGCATCCTGTCCCCTCTCCGACTTTGCTTAGACAAGTCTTTCCCGGGAGGGCCCTCACTACTTCGCAGTGCCCAGCAAACTTTAGTCCAGGGATTGGCGCTACTAGAAATGTGCCCTGCCGGGCCTTGGCACCGCCCCTGACTGCTCCCGGGGCACCAGGCCGCTGCCTCCATCCTCTAGTCATTGTAAGAGCGCAGTGTTCCAGCGCGCACAGCCCTGTGCGCCCCTGGGCCTCCTCCTGCCGAAAGCTCCCTGAAGGCAGAAACTACCCTCCTTACTCAGGAGGATGGAGGGCGGGGGGCTCCCAGTGTCTGGTACAGGGTCCTCCACAAGCAGCCTTTCCGCAAAAAGGTGGTGGCACTGCTGGGTGTCAGAGGCAGGTCGCCCTGCAATCAGCACTCAGAGGATGCGGAGCTCGGACGGGTGGAACTGTAAGCGGACTTGTGGGCGTCGGAGAGAGAACATCACCAGAGCTTCTCTGCCCAGTTGCAGAAGAAAGGGGGTGTGAATGGGTCTCACTGGGGCCCCACCGGCAAGTCCTGGTCAGTCCCAGTGGTCAGTCCCAGCGGTCAGTCCCAGCCGTGGAGAGTCTTCCTTTATCACCCCAGCGTCTCTCTGCAGAAACGGCCACCCGTAGAGAAAGGTCGAAAGTATACAGTGCCGTGGATACCTGTCTATTAGCCTCCGACAATCGACACTGTGCTGTGTTCGCTCTGCACCCCCTCCCCCCACGCGCACAGGGTCCGGCACAAGTAACTCCCTGTTTTATTACAAAACCACAAGCATGGAATTCTGTAACACAATAACATCACACTCAAACCCACCGTATGACATTTTAGGTGAAATGCCCAAATTAAAACTATAAATTATTACGCCCACATTACCACCTTACCAACCACACTCAAGCAGGCGTTGCTTCTGCCAGACCCTGTGTGTGTGTGTGTGTGTGTGTGTGCGCGCGCACACTCGCTGTGTTACTCTCTGTACATCTCTAGTAGGCAGTTAGGCGTGAGCAGCGGAGGGAACACAGGCCAAGGATGAAAGGTCACCAGGGTGGAAAGCCCCTAGCAACCGCAGGGGGTACCCTGCCCCCAGGGTGACCTTCTCTCCCCTAGCATGTTGCTGGTTATGTGGTTTAGACTTCCCGACCTTCCGTATCGCTGGCATGTCGCCAGTCACTCGGTAGGCCCTCTGAGAGGAGGAACTCGGCGGTGAAGGTTGGCCTTATGCGGCTTCCTTGCACGGCCACTTCCTTGAGCATCAAACCCTCAGGACAATGAGCTTCTGATCAGTATCGAAGGATGCTGGGAGGAGAGCCTCGGGTCTGCTGACCAGAGACAGGGTTTTGGTCAAACTAGAGCTAACGTCCAGGCCTCAGTAGTGTTTCAGCTCCAGGCCCAGAAAGGCAGCAAGGCCAGGCGGGGTGACGCCATGCCTGACATCAGGACCTGCTGCAAGGACTACCCATCTCCCCGGCACGGGCCAGTCAGTGGGGACCGTGACCCTGAGGAGACACACCTGGAAAGCTGATGAATACTCTACTGAGACCCTCCCGGTGAGACCTGCAGATACGGACCCTCCAGACAAAGGTCTCGGCGAGGCTCTCTCTCTCTCTCTCTCTTTCTCTCTCTCTCTCTCTCTCTCTCTCGATAACCCTTGCCTTTCCCCACTCTTTTTCCAAAGCAAGTTTTTGTGGGTTGTTTTTTTTTCTTTTCTTTCTCCTAACTTCCGAAGGCCCTTCTTTTCCCTCTGTAACTTGCTTCCAGAGCCCATACAGCCCAGCTGGCTCACTTCTCCCCCTGTGACTTTCTAAATCAACTTTTGCTTGTATTTCAGTCTAGGCTCTGAATTCTTTCTTAGCCAAAACTCAAGGACCAAGGTAACACCTGGTGCCATTTCACCACTAACACATCTACACACACACACACACACACACACACAAACACACACATATAATATGCTTATGCAATAGGTTTTTATATATTACATGTTGTCTATAACATATTTATATATATATATATATATATATATATATTCCCTCTCTCTCTCCCCCTTTTGAAAAGTGGTTGAAAGCAGACATCATAAACTGGGAAGGGCTTGCTCCATCCTTTTGAAAGTATGCTCTTCCTCATTGACTCAGCCTCTCCCCAGGTCCCCAGAGGTGGGCAGGGCAAGCATTCCTATTAATCTCATTATGCAGATGAGAGAACCAGGCCTCCACGCAGACAGGAACTTCCTATGCGGGCAGCAGCATGGCTGGAAGCCCACTGCAGGGCTTCTGAGATCAGGCTCTGGGACTCAGGCTCTGGGACTCGGCGCCCGTGTGGCAAGCGACCCAGCGTCCTTCTCAGACAGTGACAGGCTTCGCCGCTGCCCTGCACGAGCACGGCTTTTATTCTGGTGTTTTTTCCTCTTCCCGCGAGCCGCTCACCCACTCTTGCCCCTCCTCAGTTTGCTGTGCAGACCGTGTCAGTCAGTCATGGGGGCAGTGGTGAGAGGCCTTTGTCTGTGATGCCTGGCCCGGAGCTCCCACAGGGGCCGCTTGTGTTGCCTGAAATGGCCCTAGAGTGACGAAGGTGGAATGGGTGTTTTAAAAAAATAATTTTAATGAACTATAGAAGTGATCCCTGAAAATATAGTCTTAAAAAATTGGTTTTAGAGAGAGAGGAACATGGACTTGTTCCACTTATTTTTGTGTTCATTGGTTGATTCTTTTTTAAAAAATATATTTATTTATTTATTTTTAGACAGAGGGGAAGGGAGCGAGAAAGAGAGAGAAACATCACTGTGTGGTTGCCACTTGCATACTCCCTACTGGGGACCCGGCCCGCAATCCAGGCATGTGCCCTGACTGGGAATCGAACCAGCGACCCTTTGGTTCAGAGGTTGGCACTCAATCCACTGAGTCACACCAGCCAGGGTCTCATTGGTTGATTCTTATATGTGCTCTGACCAGGCATTAAAACCTTGGTGCATTGGGATGATAGTTTGACCAACTGAGCTACCTGGTCAGGGCCTAATGTGTGCTTTTTGTTTTTCATAACAAGCCCCCCACACACACACTGTGAAGAGGTGACGTTTGGAAAGCGCCCAGAGGAGCACAGGATGGGGGCTGCTTGCAGAGGGAACTTTCCGCCCCTGACCCCTGTCTCCAGGGAGGGGAGAGGGCCTGGAGGTTGAAATAATCACCAAGGGTCAATGGTTTCGTGAGGCCCCCATAAAAATCATAAATACTGAAAAAAACTAAAATACTGAAAAATTGGTCCTTTCCCTATTGATTTTAAATGCCATTTTTGTCATACGCCACAGTGTGGGCGACCCTCCATGCCCCCTTGCCCATCGGTATCGGGGTGCTCACACCCATGGCCTGCTAGGGCACCGGCTGGCTCCGTTCCTCCCCTCAGGTACCGGTGTGAGAGCTTCTTCCCAGACCCCAGGGCTCCGGGAGTCCTCCCTGGAGTTGCGTTGATCCTGGGGCCGCTGGGGTGACAACAGGGGAGCCAGGCAGTGGGCAGGCTGGGGGACGCTCCCTCCCGCAGTCCCGGACAAGGGCCTGGCCAGCCGGCCAGGGGTCTGGACTCCACTGGGGATAACAACGTCTCCAGAGCAAAAGCCGCTCGCAGCAGTGCCACTGTGTGGCAGAAATGACAACAGTGACAAGGGGACCAGGGCAGACCCCAGGCCTAAGATCCCACCTCCACCCACGGCCTCTTTCCTAGCCCCGGCCAGCCCTGGGCTCTGGCACGTGCTCGGAGGGGACAGAAGCCGTGACAAGCGACAGTTGCCGTCCCTGTCCTGGGGGCGCAGACACCGGAAACCAGAGTTGCTCCGATTTAGGAAACAGACCCAGGGGCTGGAAGACATTCGTGCCGGGTGTGTGTGT